TAATTGCAGCAAAACACACCTCGTCGTCGAACACCGTCCCTAAAGCAGCCACACCTCCCGCTCCATTTCCTACTCCACAAGATGAACGTTCGAGTCGTCGCGTGATCTATCGAGGAACTGGCCTCTTCTCATTGCCGACGCACCGTGGGTGATGTCTCCGCCCTGCATCATAAATCCGGGGATAACGCGGTGGAAGCGTGTGTTCTTGTACCACAGCGTCTTCACCTTCCCTTTGCCTCGCAGCTCGCCTGCAGCATTTGCAATTGCGGTCAAGCGATGGGATCGCAAGTTTCACTCCAAGACAATGCAGTCTCTACCGGTGCAGAGCAGACGGAAGTTGTCGGTCGTGGTCGGAAGTTCCTCGTGGAAGAGCTGGTTGTACGAGATAAACTGATTAGGCATTGAAAATCGTTTGCTTAAGGTCTGCGTCCTAATACATTTCTTTTTTGTTTTTCAGTACAGACCTCGATGTGCAGACGCCGCGGGGGCTGATCGCCAACACTCAGATCCAGATACACGAGCGGGGGTCCGAGGTCCGACCCTAGTTGAAACTCGCTCTTCGTTTTAACGCGAGCATTCACTGCCATGGCTCAAACCAAATTGTTGTAAAGGATACGCCGCCGAGAACGAAACGCTCTCTCAATCACCTATTTTCAGTAGTATTTAACTTTGGGGAAACAGGCACAACAAGTTCGGTTTAGTGTAGGAGAAGGTAAACTTGTGCAAGAGCACAAAGAGACCAGCAATGGCGACACTATCCACCAATACTAGAAAGCAGAAAGAGGAGGACATCGAGGTGAGTCGATTTCAACCTGGACTGCGTGTTACTTTTCAATTATGTTGAATCCAACGCGTGTTAAGCCCCCGTCAATCCTTCTGTCTTCATAGCGTCTTGTGAAATGCCGATTGCGATCCGAGATTGAGGCTCGCAAAGCTGTCGAAAGCACGATGAAGCGTGCAGTGCACGAGGCACGGGAGCTGAAAAAGGAGCTCGTCCTGTTGCGCCAAGAAAAAGAGGAACTGCGTTTAGCTGCTCGGAAGAATGTGGTGTCGGCTCCAGGTAGCGGTGACAAGGAGACAGCACGAGGAGGTAGCGTTGGATCCAACCGAGACAATCAGACCGGTAAACAAGGAAGTAACAAGGCGGTGGAGTTAAAGTTGAGGCAGCATATTCAACATCTCACAGCCCGAAACACCGACCTGGAGACCAACACCAAAGAGTTGATGCAACAAGTCTCCGATCTGGAGGCTCAGAAAGCAGCGGAGATCGCCCAGTTGACCGCTGATCTAGAGGAGAAAGACCGAGAGATAGCATCTCTGCAGGCTGATCTAAAGAAAACCAAATTTGCTGTCGACGAGACCAAACGTAAATGCCAGAAAATGCTGAAAGAGAAGAGGGAGGAGGCCCAGCGAGCTCTCCAGGAGAACGAGCAGCTGGCTCGTTGTACGAAAACGCTCCAGAGTCAATTGGCACTACTGCCACAACTGAAGAAACAGCTAGAACATGCCAAGGAGAAACGTGCCGATGTGGTTGAGGTGTGGCAAAAGAAACTGGAGCAACGTGACGAGGCATTCTTGCGCGAGGAAGAAGCGAACAAGCAGAAATTGGCCGAGAAAGCCGCTCAGATCGTTGAGCTCGCAGACGAGAAAGAGCAATTGCAAGTGAAACTAGAAGAGCTCGAACGCAAACTTTGTGACATCGACACCAATCATCAGACCGAGTTGCGTCACGAAGCACAGCGTCTGGCCGAGTTGGAGAGCACCACGAAAGAGTTGCAGGAGAAGCTGCTTGCAGCTGAGACTGCTTCTCGTGAAGCAGAGCAAGCTGAAATCGCTGCACGAGAGACTCAAGAGCAGGAGACACGACTACGGCAGCTAGCGGAGGATGCAGCCGACGCCGTTGAAGTCCGAGCTGAGAAGGCGGAGCGTGACTTGGCACAGGCTCAATTGCAGCTGAACCGCCTAGAAGAAGCTCTCAAAGCTCGCGGAGTCACCTTGGACTATCTGTTGAAACAACAGACACCAGTTTCCATTGCCAGTCGAACTTCTCGACCTGATAGAGATAAGACAACCAGCACATTGAAGAAGACCCATCCAACTGGTGCTAAGCTCTCAACAGCAAGTAGGACGGTGCCAAAGATCCAGCGTTCCACGAGATTTCAAGCCACAAATAACAACGAGGACGAGCGAGATCAATAGGAGACTCGGAAAGAACCAGGTCAAAGTTGTTCGTCCACTCAGCACAACTCCAAAGCCGATTGAACCCATCCCACTTAACATCTCATTGTTGGTCACTACTTATAGCTGTGGCGCCGTTGCTAGGATCGGTGCATACTGGCATATCTGGTACGTTGTGCACAGGCGTAGACTCCGTGCAGTGTTGCTTGGCCTCGATAGTTGCTAAACCATTGGGAGTTATCATAGCTGGTTCTGTGTCCGTAATCTTGTCAGGAAGAGTTTCATCAGCAGACTGAATATCTCTTAAAGATTTCTCAGGCTTTATCGCGTCGGTATTTAATGCCATTCCATCCGAAGACGCTTGCTTGTCCGAGTTAGTATCCATTACACCACCGTCGCCATTTGATGTCGCTGGAGCTGGGCACGATTGCTGTTCAGGAGGGATCCCATCCTGAACAATCGAATCCGCACAAGAGTTATTGTCCTCGGTAGTGCTTGTGCTTGTACTCTGCTGCAGTGTAGGTAGATCCTTCTCGACCGGCAGCGGGGAACTTCGTTCTCCACAGGCACGAGCATTATCGTTCCTTGAATACTCTTCCGTGTCTTCACTCATCTTCACGTCCGTATCCAGATCCCTTTCGAAAGTTGTGTTAGTGGCGACACTCTCGACAGATGCTGTCTTCGCGACGGTGTTGTCCATGGATTCATCAGGTGCCACGCCGATGACTTCGACTGTACCTTTATACGGTGCTGCAACGGTGACAATATTGATATCAGAGACGGAGGCTTCGATAGCGCCATTGGACACCGATCCAGGCTCAGCACTTCCGTTGAGAGAAGCTTTGGCCACAGCAGTAGTGATATTACTAACGGGTGTTGCTCCGCCGGCTTCAGCACCGCCCTCATCTGGTGCATCGGAGACCGAGCTATCCACATTCCCAGGAGATTTAGCAGGAAGCGAGGCAGCCTCCGAATCATCACAAAGGGGTGCCACAGCAACAGCACCGTCGTTGGCAGCGATACCAGACGCTGTGTCGTCGAGTATTCGATTGGTCGAGTCGGCAACCACACCATTATCTGAATCCTTGCAAACACTTGACTCCACTATACTTCTGGTTTCTTCTTCAATCGTTGACGGCTCCTCTTGCGCTTCGGATGCGTCTTGTACTGTCATGGGACAGTCGTTGTCAGCTACACCAGCATCTACAGTTTTCGAATGATTTGAATTGGCTCCAGCTTCAGCAAGCCCCTCGTTACCTGTCTGTCTAGGTTCCCTTGTATCAATCACATGATCAACCGACATCGAAGACGAAACTGTAGAACCCACCGGAGCTGAGTCTCCTGATATCAATGCCTTGCGACGGCGACCCACCTTAGCCGCCTGTGGTGCTTTTCTACGCGGTTTACCTGATCGCGTGTAGGTCCTCTTGTGTGTCCTTTGCAATTCATCATAGCGAGAACTGAGGTACCGCGTACGCTTACCGGCTACGCGAACTTCACGCCATTCCTCGTGTTTCTTGAGCTGCTCTTGGTACTTGCGCCAAATCTTAGCTGCTTGATAGCGCATGAAGTCCCGTTTACAAAAAATCACAACCGTTCGATTCTCCGATCGCGGTACAGCAGATGCAACAGGTGTCTGCATCACCGCAGACGAAGTATCTGCAGTCGCAGCAGCCTCATTCGACACCTGTGTGCTGGGTGCTAGTAGCTGAGAGCCATTTCCAATTGATGATTTCAAACCTGCCACAGGCAGCTTTGCTCTGGGTCTCTTCCTTGACGACGTACCAGCCTTACTGTTCTCACAACCCCCCACTTGAACGTTGCACTCCAACTTCTTAGGAACGAAAAGCTTTGGACGATTTTGTTGCCGACTACACGCTCCATCACTCGGGCGATCCTGGCCATTAACGAGCCCATGGCATTCACTTTTCATATTAAAAGCTTCGACGGCATTTGGCTGTGGTGGATCAGGCGATTCTTTATGTGCTGCAGCCTGCAGTGACGCACTGGCGCTCGGTAGATGATGATGCTGGTACAGGCTGGAGGGATGGTATATTCCTGGAGGTCCATCATCCACTTTCTTCCTTTTGACTGAATCTACTCCTGCAGAGGTAGAAGCAACAGCCTGATCACTGCCTTGACTGACAGAACTGGTTGCTGATCGGGAGGCAGGAGATAGTTGCTGCGATTCTGGAGGTAGTGACGAAGCTGTTCTTGTAAAATTCGTATTGCTGACCGTTTGTTCTAATGCCCGAGCAGCTCGCGATTCCATAAATGCTAGATACATCGGAGTGGGCAACTTGGTGGCCGGTCCAGACGTCCCAACGGGTGCTGGACTTGCAGCTTGTCTCGATTGCTTGGCTTCTGCACGCTTGTTGGTTGGTGGTGGCTGAAACTTTCGCTCATTTTGCTGCTGCGGCGTCCTCTGGCGCTTGGCTGCCGTATTTTTCCTGGGGAGCTTGCGGTTTGTAGGGGTTCGCTTTTGTCTGCTTATTCTTGGTCGATTCCTCGACGAATCCATCCTAATAGATCCATCGTCTCCATTGAGGAGATCTCGCATAGTTAAGAGACGCATAGATTGTGGCGCCAGAGCAATACCTGGGACTACCGCGGCTCCAGTGGGTGGAACTGGTACCTTCGACTGTGAGTTGAGCTGGCCCTGCGTCTGTATCCCTTTCGAAGTTTGGGTTCGAGTTTGAGACATCGTCGGGTTGAATACGGGCTTAATATTGCGATTTGCAGTATGTCCAGCATTCGGGTCGTAAGTAGCACCGGTAGAGGTAGCAGAAGCACCAGGTGAAGGCCCAGCATTCGTCTGGAAGTGCTTCATGATACTATCCAAGGCAAATTCATCGGGGCGGGAGTTGTTTGAGCTCAGCATGGGGCCTGACTCTTGACGAATACGATTGGGTATTTCATACGGTTCGGGCTGCAGTGGCACGAATTGTTGGCTTCTCTGCATCTGGAACGTCGGTATTCTATCCGTCTGAGCTCCACCAAACAACGTTGGGTCGTGTCTTCCCCATTCATGTCCACTTACCGAAAAGATTTCAGGATTTCGAGCCTGCAAATGCGACTGCGCTGGCTGTGGAGCCTGTTGTGAAGCGAACGTATCTTGGCTTCTGCTCATCGGCGTCCCTGTTTGTAACCTGTCATTGTAACTAGGCATAAATGAAGGCATCGACACTGACGCTGTCGTTGGTCTGGCTGATAATTGACCAAATCTCCCATCGTAAGGCTGGCCACTTTGCTGCCTCTGCACTCCAGTGCCCTCCCGCCTCCGGCCATCGTGAAAATTAGACGCAGTTCTCGTCGCCTGGGACGTTTGCACCTCATTAGTCCACCTCAGCTGTTCGAATCCACTGACGCCTGATGAATAACTGGGTTGTTGTGTGTTCTCCACGTGCCTTTGGATCTGCATTTGATACCTTTGAGCGTGCTCCTGCTGCTGGATCTGAGCCTGCATCCTCTGCACTTCCATCTGCATCTCTCTCTGCTGTTGATGATACAACTGTGCCTGTAGTTCACGCTGTTGCTGCTCGATCTGCTCCTGAATTGCCCGCTGCTGTTGTCGGTGCCAGTCGTCACTCGATGTTGAGGGCATCCCAACTAGCATTGATGTCGCCTCACTGCGCTGAGCGGACATGGGCACCAAGTGGAACCTGGTAGGAACGGGATATCCAAAGGTGGAGAAGCCGTTGGAGACTCGATCGTTCGGTGCAAATTGCGACTGCTTCCCGTCGTGGTTATTGCGTGGTTGATACAGAGGCGCGGTCGGTTGCTTCTGCTTCTTCTGCTGCTGCTGGAGCGGCCGACGGCGCTGAGTCGGCAGCGGCTCCGTGTGGTGGAAGGCGCACAGCGCACGTGCCGTCTCCTCGTCGGACAGGGACGATGTCGAGCCCCACGCTGGGTCCGCCATAACGCCTTCCCGCCTTGTATTCACCAGCCAAAAGCAACTTGTAAATTAAACATGTGCAATCATTTCAAGATAGTATTCTTGATTTTAGTATTTTGTTTATCTGACCATCTACTAGGAGCTCTCTTACCCCTATATAGATGTAGTACGACCCCTATATAACAGCATCACTTAATCATGGCCGAGTTCCTTGAGTGAGTGCTGAGCTGAGCCGCGACGCAGAGGCTTCTGTTGCGACTCGTGCGGCGACCAGCCAATAAGGTAGATGACCTGGAATGTGGCGGGCACCGTGCCGTCCGGCTGGCCGAACATGGACTGGTAAATGGAGGCAGCGGCCAGTAAAGAGTCGCGCGTAGCCGGCGCTCCTCGCGAGTTCACGGCGTGGTTTTCACCCATGCCACGCAAATGTTCCATGAGCACGAAGGCGTTTGGGTAGTCGACCTGGATGTAGTCCGTGTCGACTACAGGTAATAGACAAGTTACTCTTAGCGACACACATGTGCAAAACTCAGCGGTAAAACATGGCCGCACCTGTGCACAAGTTGAATCCGGTGGCGGACAGGAGGTTGCCGGCGTCCGCGACGTTCATGAATGGAGAAATATGCGGCGAGATGCCGCCCTGACGCTCTTGGTCGCCGAGTATAAAGGCGCTCCTGTAATGAACGGTAGATTAGCGAGAATATTTTCTGTGCGGAGCTCGTTCAAGCCAGCGTACCGTAGCTCCTGAAGCGAGTCTCCTCCCAGAACAGCGCCGATGAACGCGCCGTCAGGCTTTAGCGTATCCAGCACCTGTCGAAATGTGCTCTCGAGGTCGTTGACCCAATGCAAGGACAGAGAGCTCATTACCAAGTCGAAGTGCTGCTTCGGGAACGGCAGGAACTCCTCGTCCACCGCCAAGCGTAACGTCTCCACTGCAGATGCCACCGACACATGTCAGACGAATAACGTTGGGGTTAAGGAAGAGCGCGTCACCTACAGGTAGTTTTCGTCTCCAGGTCGTCACGAAGAAGCAGTTTTTCTGCATATTACAACATGTTAGACGCTAGATACAACACTTTATGACTATCACCAATACGCACCAGCAGAGTCGCATTGGATGAGCTTTTTGACGCCGCCCAGACCGTCATCGACGCTCAAGTTCTTGTACAGATGCCCACTGCCACATCCCAGATCCAGCGCCAACGTGAACTCGCGCTCGATATCCTGCAATACAAAAAGCCACGGCCACTCTGTGTTATTTAGCGTCGAGATTGTTCATCATCGGCTCGTTGCGCACCTCCAGCCGGTCGATAAGGCGACGGGCGACCTCGTCTTTGAGGTATTCGTACTCGTCGCTGTTCTCCAAGAGCGCAATGTTGTTGCGCTGCTGTCTCTTGACTCCTGTTGGGTGGGGCAAATCGAAACAATTTACAGCTTAGAATCTTTATTGCCGGGGCCCTTAATCGAAGAGCTCCAACTGCACGCACCCCGGTTAAAGATTGGCGCTGTAGAGAACGAGCGCCTCGCCACCGCGCGCTGCGCTAGAGTAGCCAAACGATTCTAAGGCATCATACACACGTTAGACGCGAGTGCAGACAGCGGGGCAGGTATCGCGTACCATGGCGGTGTGCGGCTCTCGTTGTCCGAGGTGACCAGCAATAGGAATTGCTTCATAAACGAGAAGAAATTGACCAATCACGTTTTGGTGCGCATGAGCAACTAGAAATGCTCGCACTGCAAGACTACAGTCGATTAAGACGAAGATAAATGTTTTATTCAAGATTAGAACGGGTCGATCAGCATCGGTAGCATGCATTGAAAATCAAGTCGACGGCGATCTTGTCTCGTGGTGCCAGCCTCAAGCAGCTTCATGGCCTGGTTTCCCATTTAATGCTTGTTCGAGCCCTTGCCACGCCACGGCGCGGTGTCGCTGAAGATCGGGATAAAGTTGTTGATGGCGTCGCGTTGGTTTTGCACGATGCACTCACAGATCCACACGAGGTTGCGCACCTCCTGCTCTTTCAGCTTCACGTACGCGTAGAAGCACGCTGTGACAAATGCAACACATTATATGAGCTCAACACAATACACAGCACACACTGCAAAAACAGCTTCGTACCGAAGTGCATTTGGCTCTGAAACGCCAACTCCGCCATCTGGACGTCACGCTCGTAGAATGCGTCGTCGATGGACTTGCTGTCTACGCCTTCGCCCTGGTGGACCTCCCAAATTTTGCGGTACACTGGGAACGAGTCCAGAGCCGCTCCAAGGGACGACTCGTCACCTGCTTCGGCCAGTATCGCTGTTGCGTCGGGGTACAGCGAACCGATGGATGGATACAGCGGCTTGCGGTCCGAAATACGCATCGCAGGCTAGACCAAGTAGCACGATACGGTTAGCATACACCCTGAGTGATAAAGTAGGCATAGCAGGCAGCCGTACCTCGTTCAACGGCGTTCCGAACGAGTTCAGCGTGATGTTAATGGCGATGCGATCAGCCCGCGCCTTGAGAATTTCACCCATGATGGTAGCTGTGTCACCGCCAATCTCCTACAAATGAATAAATACAAAATCTTTCAGTTCATGCTACAAAGCCAATTGTACAAAGTAGTTTTCTACCTGGCAGAAGTTGTAGAAATCCTCCAGCCACAGCTTCAGCATGCTGTTCTTGATGAGCTCCATCTGCACCTCTTCCAGGACGTTGCGCACGTCGGATGTGCCTTCCATGCGATCACCTCCAGCACTTTCCTCCAGGAACTGGCTAAAGTACGTTCCTGAACAGTAATGACAATAACACCGTCAGCCTGAAGAGCAAACGATGCAAACGTACTACTTAGGTACATCACACACCGATGGGAGTATCAATCAGCACAGTTTCGTACAAGTCCGAGTAGCCCTTGGCGTTCGGCTCGAACGTGCAAATACTGCGCATGATGGACTCGTCGAACTTTCCAAGCGGGTGCAGCTAAAGGTGGCACAGTAACAATAAGCACAAGACATACACGCCAGCTCCATCATTGCCTGCACCTGTCCAATGAGTTCGTTCACGTCGCGTCCGTTGAGCGTTCCCTTGAGGAGGAGAATCACGTTGTCGATCATGTACTCGTACCTGTACATACCGTAATCCTTCATTAGCACAAGTCCGCCTACAGCAACTTTAGACCTCACGCACGTGATAAAGTCGAGGAACTGGCCCAAAGGCTCCATAGCCTGTGCGCGCAAGAAGTTGAACTCTTCCACGAGCTTATTGGTCGTACCGGCCTGGATCAGACCAGGCGAGATGGTGCCTGACGACTATAGTGACAGTTAGCGCAGGTATCTCTGTATCCTCTCTAAGCAGTCATACCTCGTCGGCCAGGAATTGGTCGTAGTCCGTCTCCTGAAGGTTCAGCTTCACATCTGTAAAGCAATAAATACAAGGGATCAGCAATGGAAAAAAACGACCGCCGTCGTTTCTTCGCACCTTCGAGGCTCTCGCACTGCGTGAGATGATGGTAGTCCACATCGTCCAGGAAACCGGAGCGGAAGCCGCGTACCAGTCCCTCCACGTAGCCGTGTTGGATGTTGAACGTCGTGATGTCTCCTGCCGCCACCACCATGGTCTTGTATTGCGTCTGCTCACGATAATTATGTTCCCTTAAATCTTTTTCCAAACGAAATACATCGTTTTGACCAATCACAACGCAGTAATGTCTTAGCCACACGTAGCCGATCACTTTGACATGTTGCGCTGCCGGCTGCATGGATCGATCGCGGCGCGGCGAAGCTTCGCGACTGCTGCGCCTTCACGCGCATGGGAGCCCATTGAGGCCAAGTGGCAAAAGCACTGGGCGCAGCAGGAGCTACAGCCGCCTTCGCCCAATAAGAAGGAGCCGTTCTACTGCCTCTCCATGTTCCCGTATCCGTCAGGTCAGCTGCACATCGGTCATGTGCGCGTCTACACCATCAGCGACTGTATGGCGCGTCTTAAGCGCATGCAGGGCTACGATGTGCTCCACCCCATGGGATGGGACGCCTTTGGGCTGCCGGCCGAGAACGCGGCTATCGAGCGCGGCATCTCGCCTGCCGACTGGACTGTGGCTAACATTGCACAGGCCAAGAAGCAGCTCAAGGCACTGGGCATCCGCTTCGACTGGGATCGCGAGGTTACGACATGCGCGCCAGACTACTACAAGTGGACGCAGTGGATTTTCCTGCAAATGTTCAACAAAGGACTCGCCTACCGCAAAGAGGCGCTCGTGAACTGGGACCCCGTGGACAAGACGGTGCTCGCCAATGAGCAGGTGGATGCCGAAGGAAGATCCTGGCGCTCTGGCGCTATCGTGGAGCAGCGCTCACTCAATCAGTGGTTCTTACGCATCACCGAGTACGGCGACCGACTACTGGAGGACCTTGAGAAGGTACGTCGTGTTGAAAATGATGCGATTTGAGTTAAATTATTAACGTGATGCAACTGAACAGCTGACCAAGTGGCCGGACGCCGTTAAGCGTATGCAGTCGTCGTGGATCGGTCGATCAGAGGGCTCACAAGTCGAGTTTCAGGTTGTATTGGACGCGGGTGCACAGGCCATCCCGTTGACGGTGTTCACCACGCGCGTTGACACTGTCTTCGGCGTTAGTTTCGTCTCAATGGCTCCTGACAGCGTCGAGGTGGAAAAGCTTCTCACTCATGTACCGGCAGCACAGCGTCCTGCTGTCGATGCCTACGCCGCTGAGGTACGAGCTTTGAGCAAAGACGATCGAGGCAAAGGTGATACGACGGCTGGAGTGTTCACGGGGCTCTATGCACGCCACCCGCTTACGGGTCGACATGTACCGATTTACTTGGCTGAGTACGTGCTGGCCCATTATGGGACCGGTGTAGTGATGGGTGTACCTGCGCACGATAGCCGAGATTTGGCCTTCGCGCGTCACCACGACCTTGAGGTGCGCTCCGTGGTAGGAAGTAGCGATGGGGTAGAGTGCAACGAGGATGAAGTGTTTACCGAGCGTGGAGTGTTGCGCGACAGTGGTGAGTTCTCCGGTATGACTTCGCAAGAGGCGACTGCAGCCATTAATGCTCGCCTAGAAGATAAGCGAGTTGGTGGTGCAACGACTCAGTTCCGTCTGCGTGATTGGCTTGTGTCCCGTCAACGATACTGGGGTACACCCGTACCGATCATCCACTGTCCGTCGTGTGGCCCGGTTGGTGTTCCTTCCGAGCAATTACCTGTCCAGCTACCGCCTGTGGGTGAGGACGTGGCTGATGATCTGCGTGGCAAGGGGAGTAGCGACTCTCCTCTTGCGCGTATGGCTGGCTGGAGACACTGCAAATGCCCACGCTGTGGTGGAGAAGCCGAGCGTGACACCGACACACTTGACACGTTTGTGGACAGCTCATGGTACTACATGCGCTACTGTGATGCTCGCAACGACTCTGCTGCATTCAAACCCGAGCACGCACAGACATGGCTGAAGCGCACGGGTGTGGATCTTTATATCGGTGGCATCGAACACGCGATCCTACACCTGCTGTACTCACGTTTTGTGACCAAGTTCATGTTTGACCAAGGATTCCTAGCCACTGACGAGCCGTTCGCGCAGCTCCTGGCTCAGGGTATGGTGCTCGGCCGCACGCACAAGTCTCCTGGTTCGCTGAGACCACTGGCACCGAACGAATACGAAGAGCTGACGGAGGATGGCCGCAAGATTATTGTTGAAAAGAAGACTGGACTACCCGTAGTGACTCAGTGGGAAAAGATGTCCAAGTCCAAATACAACGGCGTGGATCCTGAGCAGATCCGTGCCCGCCACGGTGCCGATGTGACGCGTCTCACCGTGCTCTTTAAGGCGCCACCCGCTCACGAGCTGGAGTGGGATGAGACTGATCTCGCTGGTCAATCGCGCTGGCTGGCTCGCATTTGGACGCTTTTGGATGGAGCGTTGGCTCACCGGCGTCGAGGTGCGAGTGTTCCAACCGATGGAGACGACGAGAAGGAGCTTCGTCATGAGCTGCATGGAACGATCAAGCGTGTAACGGAGGCACTGAATGACTTCCAATCGTTCAACGTTGCTATCGCCGAGCTGATGAAGCTGTCGAACCTGCTGGGCGAGCGTCGCACTCAGCTACAGGGCTCTGCTGCTTACGAAGAAGCTCTGAAGGCGTTGGTCCAGATGTTGGCCCCTTTGGCTCCCCACACTGCTGCTGAAATGTTTCAAGCTCTGCACGACGGGGACGAAGCGGTAGATGTGCACACTTACACATGGCCAGCTTACAACCCAGCGTTGCTTGACCGTGCTCAAGTGAAGGTAGTGCTGCAGGTGCAAGGTAAACCACGCGATACCATTTTGGTGGATCCTACTTTACTGGAGTCTCGAGATTCGGATGCCGTTTTGGCGCTGGCACTGGCCTCTCCTGCGGTTCAACGCCATTTGCAGGGTCGCGACGTACGTAAAGCTATCCTAGTCTCCCCGAAGAAACAAGGTGCTCATGGACTGCTAAACATTGTAGCAAAATAAACGCCTGAACTAGAAAAGCCGTTGTTTTTTACGAGCGTGTTAGATGAGGGTAGACATTCGTACTCTACTACGGCTATTGTTTGAAATCATGTGTTCGTCCGGGGGCGCGCTTGCAGAGCTAGGGATGCATATCGGTACCACTAAACACGCATCAAATAAATGCAAGAAATATATTCATTGTTTTTCTTTTGCAGTATATGCACCAATATGTAAATAAACCTGCCTAGTATGTCGTCAAGCCGATTTTCTTCCACACCTGACCAGTTCCGCAGAAGTAGATTGCGCTCGCATCATATCGAAGTGTTCCTGCAGTGCACTCACTGCCTGAAGTTGGAGCAGGGGACGCAGTTGTCACAGCACTGCCGACAAAAATGACATCACCGCCGTCAAACTTCAGGTTTGGTGACGATAATGTGAGCGCGGCTGAAGATCCGGTCTGAGAGTGAACGATCGAAGCCTGTGCAGCACTCATCGTCAACTGCCCAACGACATTCGCTGCGAGGATATTCACGACGCTACCAGAAGTGTCCACATACAGAACGTCTGTTGTTGCATCCTTGGATACGCGGAAATTACGCGAGTCGACATGGAGGGGACCACCCGAAACAGTCGTCGACGTTCCCGTGATCATGACCTGCGAGGCCGATGTGAGCTGAATCGTAGAACTCGTTGAAGTGAAAGCGACAGCTACGCTCTTGCCGGCCAACTCAGTGCCTGTGACCTTGAGAAGGTCTGGAGCACCAGTCGTGGCTTTCTTCACGTAGAAGCCACCATCAGCTGCCGATCCAGTACCGATATACGCACGCACAGAGCCACCCGTCCCGGACGTCGAATCTCCAGCATTCAAATCAACTGAACCACCAATGCTACTTGACGAGGTTGTCTTGCCAGCAGCAATTTTGACAGCTCCACCGTCACCCGTGTTGCCTGCTCCTACCGATAAGGCAATTGCACCTCCTATGCCTCCACTAGAGGCTCCTGTACTGAGCATGATAGCGCCGCTATTAGCATTTGTCGCTGTTCCAGAGGACAGTGTGATGGCACCACTTGTAGATCCCGAAGCACCTATACCTGTCTCTAGCGATATCGCGCCTCCTACTGTACCAGTGCTCAGTCCACTTGAAAGACTAATACCACCTCCGTTTCCTGAGCCGCCGCTGCCAGCATTGATGCTAACATTGCCGTCTGTCTCTTTTTGTACTCTTCGTTTAATTGTGAGAACACCTCCATCGCCTAATGTAGTCGATCCTGCCGAGGCTGTCCAGCTTCCACCTGAAGCCGCTTTGCTCGATCCAACAGTTAACGCCATGCTACCAGCGAGTCCGTTGGTCGACGTGCCTGTAGATAGCGTTAGCGCTCCGGTTGGACCAGACGCAGTACCAGAACCAAATGACACGTCTCCGCTTCCAACAGATCCACCAGTGGCCGACGCAATTTGAAGCAACCCACTGGAACTGCTTGAGCTGGTTCCACTAGTTATCGCGACAGAACCTCCGCCACCTGTGGTTCCAGGGCCACCGTTAAGCGTGACCTTGCCTCCGATGGCCCCGCCACCTGCAGTCATAGTTGCGTCGCCACCAATTCCGCCGCTACTTTGGCCAGCAGATAGACTTAAGACCCCACCAACTCCACCCGTTGTCGTTCCTGCACCAACGGAAACGGTGATAGCTCCACCAGTACCACTAGAAGAAGCTCCCGAAGAAATTGATATAGAACCACTGTTTCCAGACGTCACAGATCCTGTCTTTAACGAGACTTCACCGCTCGCTCCAGGCACGGACTTCGCAGCAGAGGAGATGAATACATCCCCACTAGCCGCTGCAGAGGAACTAGTACCGCTTGATATCGTGATAGACCCACCAGCCCCAGCACCGCTACTGGTGCTAGTTGTCCCGCCTTGGATCGTCACTGCTCCACCGCCACCACCGCCATTGCCGGACGCTATTGACACCTGTCCTCCAACTGCTGCGGTAGCAGTGGCAGTCCCTGCAGTCATTGTTAGGGCGCCTCCTGCTCCGACAGAACCAGAGCCAACCTGGACCAATATATCACCGCCAGTGCCACCTACAGCATTACCTGTGGAAAGAGTAACGGAACCAGAGCTACCAGCTCCGGTAGTACCGGATGCAAATTTCACATTCCCACTCACACCAGCAGTTTCTCCGTTCGCACTCAGAATACTAACTCCACCCGAGCTCTTCGCAGTTCCAGTTCCACTTACCAACGACAGCAGACCACCCGTTGCAGCAGTAGAATCGCCACCCGACAGCGTAATACTTCCACCAATTCCAGAGCCGACAGCCGCATCAGAAGCAGCACCACCAATTAAAGCGATATCTCCACCGTTTCCTACTGTGCCACCCCCAACTGACAAAGAGATCCCACCTCCAGCCCCCCCAGTTGATGTACCGGTCGACAAAGCAATTAATCCACTTGCCCCAGACGACGCAGCACCAGAACGCACAGTGATTGCACCGCTTGAGCTTGTCGCCGCCGTCGCGCTGGTTAATGAACCCGTCGTCAGCAACAGAGCCC